AATAAATAAATAAACATTCTTAACTATATAATAAAATATTTACTTTCATATTGCCCCATCCAGAGACGATTGCCATTTGGTTAGCTGGAAGTCTACTATCCCTCGCAGCCAGTAGAATAGGCAGGACTCTCGACGAGAATCGGAGAGTTGTGTACAGTCGTAATAGCCCAGCGTCGTTGAGTAAGTGTTTGGTGTCGTATTGAGGATGCATGTAGGATTCCTTAACATCATACATTTCACCCCCGTGTGTTCTCCACGAAGATCCAACTCGTACTGAGAGGTCTTTGGCCTTAAATCTTTTATGAATTGTGTCAACAGAAAAATATCAACTAAAAGTACAAAAAACACAGTAGGTATTGCTTCATCCACCAGAATAAGTTCTTATGTGTTGTTATAGGCAGAGAAGTAGTGCCCCCCCCCCCCAAAGCCTCTTAAGTTACTTATTAACCTCACATTACTTAATTAATTATTTTCTCTCAATTATCACAAAACTTCAGCCATCACAATAGTGCCCCAATAACGTTTCCTTTGTTTATAACCTAATTACAGTGTAAACTCTTTGTAAGAAATTTCAAGGGACCGTTTCGTTTCGTTACAGAGAGTTTTTGTTATATGGAGGGTAGAGAAAAAAAACACACGTCTTAACTTTGCCTGACGTAATACACGATAGGTGACGATGGTGCGTTTAGTAACTGAGACCAAAATTTCCTACGGGCAATGTTATCTAAGAATAATGGCACACGTGTTAATGCAATAAACAATAATATAGGCGAGACGGCTGTTTATGACATCAGGTGTCTTTCTTAGAAATTTCAACCTCAAAAGGTAAGTTTTGTAAGCTGATTATAAAAACATTTACACTTAAGTATGTTGTCGCCATACGTTATAGAGATATTTATGTTATAAGAAATGACGTTATAGAGAGTTAACACTGTAATGAGGGATTTTTCTGACAGCTAAGAAAAGTAGTTCCAAATTAGTCAATAGATGGCATTTTCAAGTAAGGGTTTTTGGTTTTTTTAATGGAACTTGCCAGTTTATTCTGTGGTCTTTCCGCTTTTCTTTTGGCTCTTGCATTTGATTGTGATTGGTCTTTGGGCAACTTTGGGTGCTAAAATCATGGAAAAAACGTTTCATCATCCTTGTATTGTTAAAACATGGTAAAAAAATTGGTACGCACCATTTCCCTACCAATGAACATCGAAGAGTACATATTGGAACAGAACATTTGCGTAACCACCAAGTTTTTATCTGTGGCAAGCAATAAGAAAAAAAAGGTAAATCCTTGCGATCAAGCGCCATCTCATCGTAGCTTTTAGAACTATCTTTTTTTTTAATAGCTGTCAGAAAAATCCCTCATTGTAAATAAATGTAATCGCTGCGAGTCAAGGTCACGTTTTTTATTTGCGAAATGAATTGATTTGTCTTGAAGTTCATTTATTTCTTTCGTAAATTTGAAAATAATACTTAAATTCTGATTGCTAAGCGTATACCAAAATGTTTTGAAAAGAAAACATAGTCTCCGGCAATTTATTTAGTCAATAAGAATTGGCACATCGTTCATGTACTCCAATAATATTTCTTTATAAGAGATAAAAATATTATATTAAATACTAAAATTTGCTAAAATTGTTTTTTTTATAATTATATTAAAAGTATACAGTTAGGGAAACACTGTAACGGTGACTGTTCTGCATCGGAAAAAATACAATCGGCCGAAAGGATAAATTGATAGACTTTTAGTTAACTAGTCTTATAGCAAATTTTGTCGCTTCTTAATATTTGTCTTTATATTTTCAGTAAACAATTTAGAAATTCTTGCAATTATTCGATCGCAGCGTGATGTTAGCACATTTTCTACATTTGAAAACAACACGTTTAATAATTATTAACATTATCAAAAAAATCGATCTAAAACAGTAGCTTCTAAAAATTTACAATAAATATAATAAAAAAACTTAATGTAATCCTTATATACTTGGATACAGGCTATTTTTATTATTTTATTAATATTAGATAAATCTATATTGTAATGAATATCATAATTTTCTGTGGAACATTTTGAATTAATCTAATATCCTTTCTGTTTGACCGTTTATAAGTGTACTTGTTTACCTATATGAATAAAGTTATTTTGAGTTTTAGTTTGCACCCATTAAACATACAACAACAATGCAACAACAACGTAAAATTGAAAATCAATTTAAAAAAAAATACTTTTAAACAAAAAATAGAAAAAAACTACACATCTATCAGTCTCAATACCAGCGTAAAACCACAAAATAAATTCACGAATTCATAGGAGACCATAACCGTTACACCCAATATGTGAAAAGCGAAACAAGTTGCAAAATACAGAGAACAACTTGTTTTATTTTCGCGAGTTGACTACAGGGATTCCTCGCTCTGTAAACTGACAAATGCTTTATTCCTTTATGCGGAGATATAGGCGATATTCTTGACATCCCACGGGATATCGTCGAACTACCGTATTGTAAGAAAATCTCTCTAAAAGGTTCAACGTAAAAATAATCTACTATTAAAATGTATATATTTTGTATATTTAAACCTAGCTAAAGGATTATTGTAAATAAATAAATCCTTTATTTCATTGAAAGTGGCACATATTATGATGAATTAATAGAAAAAACCGCACAATCATGATAATCAAACAATCGTGATATGAAAAACGCATGCAAATATCTAATTAACTTAATAAGGAATGAAATATTCTTCTAAACTTATAATCTAAGACACTCATATTATAGGAACACTGTGCCTTTAAAAATCTATTCATAACTTATGATATACGATGATGAAATGTTTATAAAATTTTATTAAAACCGCCCAAAAGGCGACCAAATTAATTAACATGTTATACGCACGTTTTAACGTTTTTATACATAATCAATGATCTAGAATGTTCCATATAAGATATTTTGTATTAAATCTATAGATTTCGTGTTTACCTTTCCAAGCAATGTGCAGCTGTGAGTATCCAAATATCGGTAACGACCGAACCTGCACAACCAAATTCAGTTATATACCACAGAGAAACCTGCCACGGCACTGCTGTGATTGACGTGTTTTGTCCCGACACAATACGCCGGGAGGAGCCTGAAAGTGCATTCGGTAATCTATTTTAGGTAAACAATTTTTACTAACATGCTCTCATTCAAGCCGTTTCGAAGGAGTTGTAACAGTGCGACATGAATTTCATATAAAGTTGTATAATTATTAATACATTATATTATTAAACCTATTCAAATATAATTATACACTGCACTAAAACCAGTTAACTGACTTTAATTTATTAAGACAAGAACTAAATTAATTCTAAACACGTTTGCTTACAATTTTGAAAAATTGTAAGTTTATGTTCTACCGTCACATAAATTACTGTTTTGTTTAAAACAAAAGTAATGTAAAGATCTCACCTGTTATTTTATCTAATAAGATATTATATTTTGTTCTATACAGCTCTCGTACTTGAGTCTGATTTAAAAACTCTAAGAGATGTTTTTTATTATTTTCTGCCTCTTTTGCAAGTTCGGAATAGTCGACTTCCACTGTTTGGGGGGACATAGCTTCGGTACTCGCTATTACTAATATAACTATGGATAATACAGTTATATTCATTGTTCCAAAAGCCCCATATTATACAGCGTACAAATAATTTGATGTCTTGCCCTATAAAAACTCAATAATAATGAAATTGTCGTAAGATTTCATTGTCCTTTGTAAACGTGATTCGCGGCACGTGTTTTGCACATTTACGTCCGTTCCGAACATAAAATGAAATAGCCGTGAAATTGTATTTCTTTAATATCAATTTGTGTTTTATAGAATACTTACAAATATCCAATCACAAACGCCTACAAAGAGTTAATAGCAATAAAGGATTTTACTATATTTTTAACGAGGTGTTTAAAATATTACAAAATGTTTATTTTAAAATTTACTACTTTGGTTCTAATTCTAATTCGTGGGAACGGAAAGGGTGCGAAGTTTTGCATCGCCCCCAGTTGTTTTGGACTTTTTTAAACTTAGGAAATCCGCTTTTAAATCTAATTAAGAAGTTTTCAGGTACTAGAGAATTCACGCGCCAATCTGTAATTAAATTTGTTTCATTCGAGTAAGTTTCGGAACCAAGCTCGGTTTGAAAATGGCCAAGGCGAGTTTGTCTATAACTTTTGTTGAAATTTATGTTATTCACTTTGAGATTTTATTGTGTTACAGTTATTGAAAGCGCCTTTGTTTGTCTGTCAAATACCTTTGTGACTTGTAATTACTTTTCACTAGTTCTATAATTTTATAGGTATCAAAAGTATGATTTGTTTGAAATCTTAATATAACGGAAATGGCTCTGTAAGATTTGTCATACGAATATTCTATGCAGAAGTTTAATCTTTTGTTAATTTAGACTACTTTCAGAACTCAAGACGATAAAAATTTAGCATTTTATTTTCAAGACGACCAATATAATGACGTAAACTAAACAATAAACAGAACCTTCTGCAACTATTGTTATTCCTAAAAAACCTAGTTTGTTTTAGTAATATAGACTAATAGAAATTTAAAAAGGTTTTAAATTCAATTTTAAACTATTGTATAAACAAGGTGTATTTTAAGCGATATTACATTTTGACATCGTTTTAAATTAAAGATGCCTTCAAAATAGCAGCTCATTTTACCTTGAGTCGCTCTTTGCCCGGCCTCGTCACAAAGGCGCTAACTAGGGACGCAAGTGGCTGCTAAGCTTTGCCCGCTTTGTAACGCTTCCTGGAAGCTCGGGTTTACCTCCTGTTTTAAACTTTGCTTGTATTTTATATTCATATCGTGTTACTGTTACAAACTTATCGAGTTCGCGTACGCTTTAAGCGTTGATTAACCATGAAGGTTTAGAAAATAATAGTTATTTTGCAGTTGCACTGTAGAATATAATATCAATTTTACAAACTTAATTTCTTATCAAACGTATTTTTATACTACATAGGTTTTTATATCACGCAAGATCCAGGTTTTTGGACGAACAGTGTGTGTCGTGTATTTTCATTTCTCTCCTTGCAATCTGCGTTGCAGTTCAGCCAGCATAAGTTCCAGTACGACTTTCCATCTGTACCGCAAACTGGTTCATATTCGGGCGGGCAGGTTATGTTACAAGTGCACCCAGTTGGTTGGCACTCGCCTGAGTGCCATACACTTATCCGATAGCCATCCCTCCTCTTGCTATTGCTACATTTTAACTGACACTCATTCGTATAGGTCTGTTGGTCTGTACCGCAGACGGGAATGTAGCTATCAGTACAACCGCAACCCGAACATGTTCCATACTTAGTAATGGTTAAATAAGTGTTTCCTCGTCGCTTTGCTTCACAGTTGAATTCGCAAGGATTCTTGTAAGTTCTACCATCGCTTCCACATACAGGGTTATTGATTTCGTTACAATAGCATGCCTCGCAAACACTTTTTGGGGCTGGTGAAATTGCTGGGTACTTAGAGCAGTAATTTAGTTTGTTTTGACAAGTAAGGTAACAGACGTTCTCGTAGTAATATCCGTTGCTTCCGCACACCGGTTGATGTTCAAGTGGGCATAAACAGCTTTCCAGACAGGCCCCGTTGTTCTTTATTTGGATTGAAGGTCCCTTTCGTTTCAAGCTTATAGAGTTAGCAGTTTCAAGAACACATTTGTTTCTGTAAAGGATGTTATCTGTACCGCAGACTGGAGCTGCGATATCCGTACATCCCGTTGACGGGCCGATGCAGCCAGCTCTGTAGGCTAAATTATAGAATGATTGACCTGCATAAAGACGTTTATAATTTTCACACGCTAGTTCACATTCATTCGGAAAGGTGAGCCCTTCCATGGTGCAGACGGGAAGGTTGAAATTTTGACAGATGCAGGTTTTACATTCCCCATTATTTGCTTTATATATGAGCCCTTTTCCATCCTGTATACTACGATTGCTGGTGCAATTAAACACACATTCGTTTATGTAGGTGATGCCATCAGACCCACAGACGGGGTTATAGTTGTATTCACAAGGGACACACCAGCAAAGGTTGAGTTACCTTCTGTGTATTGGCCAGGGTAGATACGCTATGCATGAATACTAATAAAACAATGCCTGGAACAATTAATAATAAAATGAGTTCAATCCCGACTTATGTAACATAACATTAGTTAAATTGCATATATATACATCACTTAGTTAATATTTAAAAGCGTAAACAAAATGTAAACATTATCGCATTTGAAGTCAATATGAGCCCTTTAGTTTTTACCACACTCATAAGTTGTAATAACATTCTCATTTCCGATAATGTCCAATAACATAAGTGTCACTTAGATTTATGAACTCTTCAATAAGTCAAGTTAGTTTTTGTTAGCGTCGCAACCCCACTACCCCTAATTGTATGTTAGTTATAAGCTCATATTTTAAACCATTAAAGTCAGTTGTTACCCAGCTTCAAACAAAGTGTTTTATTTGAACATATATAATATAAAAACCGCCACCAAACTTAATTCCCGTATAATATATTTTTATACTCACAGTTGTGTTTGGACATGATTCTTGCGGTTCCAATTAAGGAATTTAATTAAACTGTCGTAAATTTATTTTATATACGAAACAAATTATCTTATTATTTAAATGTCACTACTTAAGGCTGACAATTAAAGTGATAGCGAAATTTTTGCATTTCTACTTTATACGGATACCTTCGATTAAATATATATTAACGTTGTTTTGGCATATATTGCTCATGTAACAAATATATTATGCATTTAAATGTGCTTTTCATAACTACTATGTGGTGACCTTAAAGTTAAACAATAGTTTTATACGGGCGGAAGTAATAAATTCTTGTTAATTTTAGTACAGTGCATAAACAGTCAAACAAGACATACGCAATTTTCTATTAACGTACTTATCTCTCTTAATTTACAATATATTTAACTGTGTCATGTGCAACCGGTAGTGGAGGTAATTTGTACGTTAATTGATATTCTACTTCTACTTAGAGGGTTAACTTTATACGGTTTAATTATAAAGCTTGATCGATCAAGCTGGATTAATTAAAAAATTTAAAAAGTCATATTGGAGACATTATATATAAAGGGATAACGGTAATCTTTAAAAATCTCTGTGTAAATCTTATCCTAAAATTAGGTTAATTAATGTATTTAATGTAGCAATATTTCCATATATTTTGGAAAATTTAAATAATATAATTTATTTCCAACACACAACAACCTATACATATATAACCTATATATATATAAATTGATAAAAAGAAAATTAAAACTAATTTAAAAAGTTTGGCACTGTGGCCGTGTACCTTTAACGATGGCAGATTTCCTTACTGTATCGCGACACTTATTCGTTGAGCGAGGAAAGCACCAACTCTGGGGTCACCGGTAATGACTATCTATTTCTATTTTGGAAATTGAGATTTTCGTGATCATATACTTTGAATTGCTGTTCTGCATTTACATGCATTCAATTTCAGAAGCTGTAAAGCTTGGAGATTTTTGTGTATTTTAGGAATATTTTTTTAGATTAATTGATGAGCTTTTTAAGGACCTGCTTCGTCAATTGTTTATAATAGAAATGTCTTCTTAATTTGTTATTAAATTCTCTCCATTTTCAATTTATTTGCAAATAAAAAAGCTCTTTTCTAAATCTCAATAAAAAAACAGAAAATCTGAGCTAAAACCTTAACGTTAAATCACTTAGGTGTAATCGGTGTCATCCACGATGTGTTATTGTATATATGTAGTATCCTCAATCGTTTATATTCGTTAAATAAATTTTATCGGCGAAAAGGCAACAAAATATTAGGTCCTTACATATGAAATTGGCGTATTTCGTACTGGCCACTTTAATCACGATGTTCTCCTCTTTGGTAAGGAATTCCAAATTCAAATTTGTACAGCTATTTACTCATGTATTTGTGCTTCGATGACCGTCATTCATTTGTTTTTTCTTCTGTTTTTTTCTGTTTGCGTCACTCATTTTACAAAATGGAAAACTTAAAGTATCGCATTATTTACGAGTACGAGTTCCGCCGTGGCACTAGTGCTGCGGAAACGACTCGAAGGGTGAATGACGTGTCGTGTATGGCGGTCATGTTGCAAAAGAAAACACAGTTCGTTTTTGCTTCCAACGTTTTCGTTCTGGAAATTTCGACCTGCAGAACAAGCCCCGTGGACGGCCTGAGACCCAAGTTGATAATGAAGTATTGAAGGCTATTGTGGAAGCGGATCCATCGCAAACCACGTCCGAGTTAGCTGCAGGCTGCGGTGTTAGTGATAAAACTGTTTTAATTCACTTGAAGCAAATTGGGAAGATTAAAAACCTTGAAAGATGGGTACCTCACGAATTGACTGAAGCAAACCGGCAAACGCGCGTCGACTGCTGCGTTACATTACTGAACCGGCACAATAATGAAGGTATTTTAAACCGAATCATTACCTGTGATGAAAAATGGATTCTTTACAATAATCGAAAGCGCTCAGCGCAATGGTTGGATCCTGGCCAGCCAGCCAAATCCTGCCCCAAGCGAAAATTAACCCCAAAAAAGTTACTTGTAAGCGTTTGGTGGACTAGTGCCGGTATTGTTCATTACAGTTTTCTCAAATCTGGCCAGACTATTACGGCTGATGTCTATTGTCAGCAATTGCAAACCATGATGGAAAAGCTAGCGGCTAAACAACCTAGGCTGGTCAATCGCTCCACGCCACTGCTACTTCACGACAATGCTAGACCACACACTGCACAACAGACGGCTACCAAATTAGAAGAGCTTCAATTGGAATGTCTAAGACATCCTCCGTACTCCCCGGACCTTGCTCCAACAGATTACCATTTTTTTCGAAATTTGGACAACTTCTTGCAAGGGAAAAAATTTAACTCTGATGGGGCAGTCCAAATCGCCTTCACAGATTTTATTGATTCCCGTCCGACTGGTTTTTTTAGTAAAGGGATCAATGAACTACCTATGAGATGGCAAAAGTGCATAGAAAACAATGGTTCATACTTTGATTAATTAAATATATTATATTAAAAAAATATTCGACTTTTTGTTCCTCCCATACAAAACGCCAATTTCATATGTAAGTACCTAATATTTAATTACTATATCGTGCAGAACTTGTACACTTGTGTATTCCTGGATCAGGGGAATCCTTTCATTTTATAATATATATTTTTAACTATATATTATGAGTGTATAACAATAATTAATTAATTAATTATTAAGTGCTAAAATGCTGGTGAGAATGCCGGCCTAACTAGCTCTGTTTGCAACTAAATAAAGCGTTTTAGGTAGAAATGTTTAAATCAGTTAAATTCTTTAGTTCCATACACAACTCATTTTATTTCAATTGTGAAATCCTAGTGAAAATTGCAGTTACAATATTAAGTACATGCACCTACATGTTCGCCGTAGTTCATCCCGTTGTAACAAAAACTAGAGCGCTAGATTTCCTCTGTGGCCGACTACAGCCAATAAGTTTTTAGATGTATATAATGACGCAATATGCAGGCAGACTACATACATCTACTCGTTCTAAAAAAATAAATATAATTAAAAAAAATCAATGGCGCTACAACTTTTAGTTCTGAGCCTCAGATTTCTGTATCTGTTTCATGATTATTTGTTAATTTAATAGGCAAGTAGGTAAGCAGCCTTCTGTGCCTGACGCACGCCCTCGACTTTTTGCGTCTAAAGCGAGGCGGTTTCCTCACGATGTTAACCTTCACCGTTCGAGCGAATGTTAAATGCGCACATAGAAAGAAAGTCCATTGGTGCACAGCCGGGGATCGAACCCACGACATCAGGGATGAGAGTCTCACGCTGAACCCACTATGCAAACACTGCTCATTATAAATTAAATAGACTGCTTAATATCTACACGTCCACAATTAAAAATAAATGCTTAAAGGATTGGCTTATGAACACACCTTACGCAGAGTTGCAGATGCTCCTGAGACCTTACATGTAGTTACACATTATACTCAATCACTCAGTCACACACACACTCACTCATACAATCACGCGTCTTGTTAAACAGTTAAAAAATTGTAATTGAAAAAAAAAAGTTATGGAAGAGCTAGAAACCCTCACACAAGTCAACACGACTTAGAAGGGTTACCAAGTCTTACACTTTATAATGAATTGTTTTATAATGAATAAACACATTTTATTTTTAATTATTTTGAAAAATATAACTAATAACATTTCGACTCCGAAATGCACTAAACATATTAAATAACAATATCGTTTTTCTATTGATTGGTATTGTAGAGTGAATAAAATGCCTATTTATCTAAGGAATTCATGATATAATTAGGTTTTTTTTTGGATATCGGTGGAGTGTGCTCTTGCCTATTTAAGATTTTCGTGTAATTTTAGATTTTAGATGATTATGTACACTTACACGTACACTTGCTATATTTTTATGGTTAAAATTAAAACATTTTATTTTATCAAATCACATTTTGTAACATTTGAATATCAAACAAAGAAAAAATTAAATTATTGCTGAATTAAATTCCACGACAAATACCTACTGATTTATAAGCACTTTACCATTATTATTTTTCGCGCATCATTTCTGTAGTCTATGGCATACTTATGTATTTAGTTTTCCACTATTAATAATAATAAAGCCAAAGCTTTATTAACCTCTTTTTCATTACGTTTAGTTTAATTGAGATAAAATATCATAGTGATAGAACAAGGGATTATCTTACGATGTTTTAAATTATAACGCCCGCCTTCCTCTGCGAGCGGAACGGGCCCATCCGCTTTACTCGTAACGCCGGTCAACTATTTCTCGCTCAACACTTACGCAGTGGAAGGCGAGCATAGAAGTTACCGTATGCATAAGTGTAATCAAATGTTAAACGTCGTTAGGTATTATAAATTTTACTGCATAATTTAAACTGATATTGAATTAATATCAAGTTAAATAGTATAGGGATTTTCAACCACATAGCTCTCATCAATGTTATTTGACACATTATTCGTAGTTTGAGACTTACATAGTACTTAGTAGATAAGTGACTAAACTAGAATTCGAAAATTAGACTAATAACTCTATTAGTCTGTATGTAATAAGCTTATTTATTTAAACGATGTATAGATTAATATATAGGAAAAGGTAGGACTTTCCTATCGCTTCGGTAATATACTAGAGACAGTAAAGATAGAAAATAAATAAACAAATTATTTTATTGATCAGTAACAACAATTCTACATAACATTAAGTATGGTTTATTGACGTATTATTTATTGGCCTTACTGCGCATTAAATTTGAAACTCAATACAAATTATTATACTTGATTAAATAAAGTAATTATGTAGTTAAACAATTATCAATTGTAAATGATTGCGTGATTGAAAAGAAGCAGTTAACAAGGGCCAATATCACAAAACATAACAGGTGATCGTTTATTTTTTACATTATTTACGGCATCGCAGTACAAGAAACAAATGTTCCAATAGGAGATGCCATTGTCACCGCATACGGGGCGATACAGGTGGGGACAGGCATCGCAGTTGAAATAATTGTATGCATGACATTGTCCTTGATACGATATAGTTAGAGGCTTTTCGTTATGACGACAACGTACTTTGTTTTCGCAGTCAAGGGCGCATTTGTTACCATATGTGTTTCCGTCGCTTGCGCAAATAGGATCGTCGATGTCAGGACAAAGGCATTCACATTCGCCTCTATAAGCGACATATAAGTGACGACCCAATTTTCCAACTCTCTTACTTTCACAGTTTAGTTTGCATTCGTTATCATATGTGTTACCGTCACTTCCACAAACTGGTTCATATATTTTTGGGCAGGAACAACTCTGACATGCTCCTCTGTACTGCAAACCGATTTTTAGTTCTTGGTTGTTGCGACTGGCACATTGTAGAACGCAAAGATTCTTGTACGATTTGTTATCGGTTCCACAAACAGGAATGATACTATTATAACAACTGCACGGGTATTGACAAAGGTCTCGATTAAAAACAGTTAAAGGAGATAAACCGTTTTCAACCAAATTTCTACTTACACAAGACAATTCAAATTCATTTGTGTAAGTTTGTCCATCGCTACCACAAACCGGCTGAACTACAGCATTGCAATCGCATCCGTCATCACATGCTCCCTCATGAATTTGGCAGATAGTTGGCTGATGATTTTTTTCCAGTTCTTTGTTTCTGCATCCCAGCTTACAGCTATTTCCATAAGTTTTGCCGTCGCTGCCACACACTGGTTGATAAACTTCTGTACAGAAACAACCTTCGTCACACTCTCCTTCATAAACTTGGCGTATAGTAGTTTGATTCTTTCTTTCTAGTTCTTTATTTTTACACCCCAGCTTACAGCTATTTCCATAAGTTTTGCCGTCGCTGCCACACACTGGTTGATAAACTTCTATACAGAAACAACCTTCCTCACACTCCCCTTTATAAGCTGGATGGATAATAGTTTGGTTATTTTTCTTTCGCTTATTATTTTCACAATCAAGATCACATTGATTAGAATAGGTTTTTCCATCAGTTCCACATATAGGGTCATAGTTCAATGGACAAGAACATACATCAGAACATTCTCCTTTATATGCTACTGTTATGTTAGATTTATCTTTTTTATTTTTACAATCAAGATCACATTGATTAGAGTAGGTTTTTCCATCAGTTCCACATATAGGGTCATAGTTTAATGGACAAGCACATACATCGGAACAACATTCTCCTTTATATGCTACTGTTATAGGCTTTCCTCCATTTCTTTGTTGTTCTTTATCTTTTTACAACCCAAGATCACATTTATTACTATATGGTGTTTCCGTCACTTCCGCATCGGGATTATAGTCAGCAGTGCATAGACAAATATCAGGGCATTCGCCTTCTTGCTAGCAATAGTAATTATGTTTTTACCTTCTCGTTTCAACTTCTTGTTTCGACATTCTAGTAAACATTTATTGCTGTAGGTTTCTCCATCATCTCCACAAACTTGTGCAATCAAGATCTTGATTAGAGGGGGATCACGGACAACAAATCAGAACATTCTCCTTTGTTAAGCAACTTTTATGTTACATTTATCTTTTATTTAAATTATATTACTTAATTTATCTTTTTATTTTTACAATCAAGATCACATTGATTAGAGTAGGTTTTTCCATCAGTTCCACATATAGGGTCATAGTTTAATGGACAAGCACATACATCAGAACATTCTCCTTTATATGCTACTTTTATGTTACATTTTTCTTTTTTATTTTTACAATCAAGATCACATTGATTAGAGTAGGTTTTTCCATCAGTTCCACATACATATAGGGTCATAGTTCAATGGACATGCACATACATCAGAACATTCTCCTTTATATGCTACTTTTATGTTACATTTTTCTTTTTTATTTTTACAATCAAGATCACATTGATTAGAGTAGGTTTTTCCATCAGTTCCACATATAGGGTCATAGTTTAATGGACAAGCACATACATCAGAACATTCTCCTTTATATGCTACTTTTATGTTACATTTTTCTTTTTTATTTTTACAATCAAGATCACATTGATTAGAGTAGGTTTTTCCATCAGTTCCACATATAGGGTCATAGTTCAATGGACATGCACATACATCAGAACATTCTCCTTTATATGCTACTTTTATGTTAGATTTATCTTTTTTATTTTTACAATCAAGATCACATTGATTAGAGTAGGTTTTTCCATCAGTTCCACATATAGGGTCATAGTTTAATGGACAAACACATACATCAGAACATTCTCCTTTATAAGCAACTTTTATGGCATTTACTTAAATAAAATTAAAAAAAAAAAAATTACCATTTATCTTTTTTATTTTTACAATCAAGATCACATTGATTAGAGTAGGTTTTTCCATCAGTTCCACATAAAGGGTCATAGTTTAATGGACAAGCACATACATCAGAACATTCTCCTTTATATGCTACTTTTATGTTACATTTTCCTTTTTTATTTTTACAATCAAGATCACATTGATTAGAATAGGTTTTTCCATCAGTTCCACATATAGGGTCATAGTTTAATGGACAAACACATACATCAGAACATTCTCCTTTATATGCTACTGTTATGTTAGATTTATCTTTTTTATTTTTACAATCAAGATCACATTGATTAGAGTAGGTTTTTCCATCAGTTCCACATATAGGGTCATAGTTTAATGGACAAACACATACATCAGAACATTCTCCTTTATATGCTACTGTTATGTTAGATTTATCTTTTTTATTTTTACAATCAAGATCACATTGATTAGAGTAGGTTTTTCCATCAGTTCCACATATAGGGTCATAGTTTAATGGACAAGCACATACATCGGAACATTCTCCTTTATATGCTACTGTTATAGGCTTTCCTCCATTTCTTTGTTGTTCTTTATCTTTACAACCCAAGACACATTTATTACTATATGTGTTTCCGTCACTTCCGCAAACGGGATTATAGTCAGCAGTGCATAGACAAATATCAGGGCATTCGCCTTCGCTAGCAATAGTAATTAGTTTTTTACCTTCTCGTTTCAACTTCTTGTTTCGACATTCTAGTAAACATTTATTGCTGTAGGTTTCTCCATCATCTCCACAAACTGGTGCCAAATTTGCGGGACACGGACACAAATCAGAACATTCTCCTTTGTAAGCAACTTTTATGTTACATTTATCTTTTTTATTTTTACAATCAAGATCACATTGATTAGAGTAGGTTTTTCCATCAGTTCCACATATAGGGTCATAGTTTAATGGACAAGCACATACATCAGAACATTCTCCTTTATATGCTACTTTTATGTTACATTTTTCTTTTTTATTTTTACAATCAAGATCACATTGATTAGAGTAGGTTTTTCCATCAGTTCCACATATAGGGTCATAGTTCAATGGACATGCACATACATCAGAACATTCTCCTTTATATGCTACTTTTATGTTAGATTTATCTTTTTTATTTTTACAATCAAGATCACATTGATTAGAGTAGGTTTTTCCATCAGTTCCACATATAGGGTCATAGTTTAATGGACAAACACATACATCAGAACATTCTCCTTTATAAGCAACTTTTATGTTACATTTATCTTTTTTATTTTTACAATCAAGATCACATTGATTAGAGTAGGTTTTTCCATCAGTTCCACATAAAGGGTCATAGTTTAATGGACAAGCACATACATCAGAACATTCTCCTTTATATGCTACTTTTATGTTACATTTTCCTTTTTTTTTTACAATCAAGATCACATTGATTAGAATAGGTTTTTCCATCAGTTCCACATATAGGGTCATAGTTTAATGGACAAACACATACATCAGAACATTCTCCTTTATATGCTACTGTTATGTTAGATTTATCTTTTTTATTTTTACAATCAAGATCACATTGATTAGAGTAGGTTTTTCCATCAGTTCCACATATAGGGTCATAGTTTAATGGACAAACACATACATCAGAACATTCTCCTTTATATGCTACTGTTATGTTAGATTTATCTTTTTATTTTTACAATCAAGATCACATTGATTAGAGTAGGTTTTTCCATCAGTTCCACATATAGGGTCATAGTTTAATGGACAAGCACATACATCGGAACATTCTCCTTTATATGCTACTGTTATAGGCTTTCCTCCATTTCTTTGTTGTTCTTTATCTCTACAACCCAAGACACATTTATTACTATATGTGTTTCCGTCACTTCCGCAAACGGGATTATAGTCAGCAGTGCATAGACAAATATCAGGGCATTCGCCTTCGCTAGCAATAGTAATTAGTTTTTTACCTTCTCGTTTCAACTTCTTGTTTCGACATTCTAGTAAACATTTATTGCTGTAGGTTTCTCCATCATCTCCACAAACTGGTGCCAAATTTGCGGGACACGGACACAAATCAGAACATTCTCCTTTGTAAGCAACTTTTATGTTACATTTATCTTTTTTATTTTTACAATCAAGATCACATTGATTAGAGTAGGTTTTTCCATCAGTTCCACATATAGGGTCATAGTTTAATGGACAAGCACATACATCAGAACATTCTCCTTTATATGCTACTTTTATGTTACATTTTTCTTTTTTATTTTTACAATCAAGATCACATTGATTAGAGTAGGTTTTTCCATCAGTTCCACATATAGGGTCATAGTTCAATGGACATGCACATACATCAGAACATTCTCCTTTATATGCTACTTTTATGTTAGATTTATCTTTTTTATTTTTACAATCAAGATCACATTGATTAGAGTAGGTTTTTCCATCAGTTCCACATATAGGGTCATAGTTTAATGGACAAACACATACATCAGAACATTCTCCTTTATATGCTACATTATGTTAGATTTATTTTTTTATTTTTACAATCAAGATCACATTGATTAATAGGTTTTCCATCAGTTCCACATATAGGGTCATAGTTTAATGGACAAGCACATACATCGGAACATTCTCCTTTATATGCTACTGTTATAGGCTTTCCCCACTACAACAAGACACATTAATAAAAAAAAAAAAAAAAAAAAAAAAAAAAAAAAAAAAAAAAAAAAAAAAAAAAAAAAAAAAAAAAAAAAAAAAAAAAAAAAAAAAAAAAAAACCCCCCCCCCCCCCAAAAAAAAATTTTTTTTTTTTTTCCCCCTCTTTTTATTTTTTTTAAAAAAAAAAAAAAAAAAAATTTTTTGGGGGGGGTTTTTCCCCCAAAAAAAAAAAAAGGGGGAAAAAAAGGGGAAAAAAAGAAAAAAAAAAGGATCCTTTCCCTTTTATCCAACCCTTATGTTAGATTTATCTTTTTATTTTTACATCAGATCACATGAAGAGTAGGTTTTTCCATCAGTTCCACATATAGGGTCATAGTTTAATGGACAAACACATACATCAGAACATTCTCCTTTATATGCTACAGTTATGTTAGATTTATCTTTTTTATTTTTACAATCAAGATCACATTGATTAGAGTAGGTTTTTCCATCAGTTCCACATATAGGGTCATAGTTTAATGGACAAGCACATACATCGGAACATTCTCCTTTATATGCTACTGTTATAGGCTTTCCTCCATTTCTTTGTTGTTCTTTATCTTTACAACCCAAGACACATTTATTACTATATGTGTTTCCGTCACTTCCGCAAACGGGATTATAGTCAGCAGTGCATAGACAAATATCAGGGCATTCGCCTTCGCTAGCAATAGTAATTAGTTTTTTACCTTCTCGTTTCAACTTCTTGTTTCGACATTCTAGTAAACATTTATTGCTGTAGGTTTCTCCGTCATCTCCACAAACTGGTGCCAAATTTGCGGGACACGGACACAAATCAGAACATTTTCCTTTGTAAGCAACTTTTATGTTACATTTATCTTTTTTATTTTTACAATCAAGATCACATTGATTAGAATAGGTTTTTCCATCAGTTCCACATATAGGGTCATAGTTCAATGGACATGCACATACATCAGAACATTCTCCTTTATATGCTACTTTTATGTTAGATTTATCTTTTTTATTTTTACAATCAAGATCACATTGATTAGAGTAGGTTTTTCCATCAGTTCCACATATAGGGTCATAGTTCAATGGACAAGCACATACATCGGAACATTCTCCTTTATATGCTACTGTTATAGGCTTTCCTCCATTTCTTTGTTGTTCTTTATCTTTACACCCCAGGACACATTTATTACTATATGTGTTTCCGTCACTTCCGCAAACGGGATTATAGTCAGCAGTGCATGCACAAATATCAGGGCATTCGCCTTTGCTAGCGATAGTAATTAGTTTTTTACCTTCTCGTTTCAATTTCTTGTTTCGACATTCTAGTAAACATTTATTGCTGTAGGTTTCTCCATCGTCTCCACAAACTGGTGCCAAATTTGCGGGACACGGACACAAATCAGAACATTCTCCTGTATAAGCTACTTTTATGTTACATTTTTCTTCTTTGTTTTTACAATCTAGTACACATTTATTACTATAAGTGTTTCCATCATCTCCACATACAGGTGCCAAATTTAAAGTACATATACAAGGTGACTTGCACTTACCCTTGCTGACTTCTTCTACACAAGGTTGATTTTTTCTTTCCAGTTCGTCGTTTTTACATTTCAGTTCGCAAGCATTGTTATAAGTTTTACCATCACTACCACACACAGGTTGATAGATAGTGGGACAAATGCATGGATGCAATGGTTCTTTACACTCACCATCATATAATTTTTTAATATTGTGTGATTTAGGCAGTTCTGAATTTTTACAGGAGAGTACGCAATCGCTGCCGTATGTCTTGCCGTCACTGCCACAAACTGGCTTATAAATTTTGGTACAGACGCATGGATCACGAAGTGGGTTTGTGCCCCATGCTGGATGAGACATAAAAAATAAAGCTGAAATACCTGTAAAAAAAGTTTTATTTTTAACGAAACATTCTGAAAAATATTATAATAAGGTCATAAAATTGATTAACCAAACTCACAAAGTATCGACTTCATGTTGTCAAGCAACAATTCGCCATAAAGCTGATTATGCACTATCAAGTTAAAAACTTCAAATTTAATTTATACTATCTGTTGTTTGTTAAACTGGTAACTGATACGTGAATACAATACATTTTAACATACCATGAGTAATACTGAATTTATTGTATTTAATTTAAGCCAACAATATAGCTTATTCTGGCTTTACTTGTTTATAATATCATTTAATAAATATTGTACCTACTGAATGTGACATAAAAATAATCTTCCTATAAAGGCGAAAAAATTAAGTTTATTAAATATCTAATTATCATATTATTTCATTAAAAAAATAAAGCTGTCTTATCAAGAACTAGAATAGTTAAGATTATAAAAAATATTTTTCCTTAGTCTCAGGTGATAACGCCTACGATTTACCTGTGTATATTAAATTTAGATATACAATATAATATTGTCAAACCCATAGATTTTAGTACTCATATAGCATGGTAGAGCTACATAATGTCTCAAGTTTAAACTGCGCTCTTACTCTGTAAATTCTAATAGCGATCTCGATCCCAATTATGAGTTTCTATTTGTGATTCCAAGGTTGCGGCATAAGCGGTGCGGATATTATAGAAGTACATTGAAATGTATGGTTAAAGAGTAAGGGTGCTGAGCCAAACTTATAAAGGTAAAGGTTTTCTTGATGGTTAAGATTGGTAGGCAGCCTCATTTTAAATCAAACAGCTGTTTTGTGATAAACTTTTTAACTGAGATTTAAAATTTCTGCCCTTTTTAAAGTTCTAGTTTAAATCTATATATTATTTCAGTGAACATATTTGCAAAACAATGGCGTTTTTATAATTATAATAAGACAAATCAAGTTACTTTTAGCAAACATATTTTTTTCAATATATTATACACATCTTTATAAACAAACCGAATAATAGGTGCAGCTGTTTAAATGTCATTTATATTTTTTTATTGTTTGATACAAAGAAAAATTATTCGAGACAAGTGAGGGGTGAACTTTACTTAAAATTTAATGTCTGTTTTTATCGAAAACATTTTTAACCTTACAATTCGACTTCATATTGTCATACATTTTTGTTATTGCAAAACATCCTTTTTAAATTAAATATAACTGTTCAATTTCGTCAGAGATTTGACCGAAATATATTTTTTAATACAGTTGCTCAAAAAGTGGCGTATTGCATGGACGTATAGCGTTCGGGATGTGGGCTATTACACACTCGTGCTTTTTTTTTACCTTTTCCGAACTAGTGCGTTTTCTTTCCCAACTGTCAAAATAATGTCTATTAAAAAGAAAAAACCAACCACGAAGTTTTTAAGTTTTAAAAAAATTCATAGAAATTTTTATGATTCATGCAAATATTTCTAAAAATAAGCTACTGCTTTGTTTCAATATAAGATTTAATGATTTGATTCAATGAGTTAGGTTAGATTTTATTTCATCTCCTTAAATTTCATTTCATATCAATAAAAAATTGTACTGAAGACTTGGCTGTATGGGCATAGTTCCCTTTGCCTACCCAGAATGGGTGAAGAAAAAAAAAATCTGCTTATATTCTTTTACGGTTGGCGCCATTTTCCAAAAATGTTCTTTGCGCGTTTAGTTGTTTGTTATATTATATATTAAATATACATGAAAAATCATACGAAATAAATAATAGTTTGTCTCAAACAGTAAATAAATATGCAACCTAAAACTTCTCCAGTTAGTATAAAAAACTGTACCAATGTATAATTGTGAACAATAATTTGTATAAGAAATAAATGATTAGTGAGTTGAGTTTATTGTTTTTTTATTATTTTATTAAATTGCATAATTTTTTCGCAACTGTATTAAAAATAGTTGTTCAGTACACGTGCGGAACCGTCATTGCAACTTGTTCCGACTGTCAACCCTCACCTTCGGCTGCGCCTCGGCTCGGGTAGACATTTGTCGAAACTCTTTGCAATGACAGGCTTTCCGCACTTGTAATGAAATATACTATTTTAATACAGTTGCTCAAAAAGTGGCGTATTGCAGGGACGTATAGCGTTCGGGATGTGGGCTATTACACACTCGTGCTTTTTTTTTACCTTTTCCGAACTAGTGCGTTTTCTTTCCCAACTGTCAAAATAATGTCTATTAAAAAGAAAAAACTAACCACGAAGTTTTTACTAAAAAAAATTCATAGAAATTTTTATGATTCATGCAAATATTTCTAAAAATAAGCTACTGCTTTGTTTCAATATAAGATTTAATGATTTGATTCAATGAGTTAGGTTAGATTTTATTTCATCTCCTTAAATTTCATTTCATATCAATAAAAAATTGTACTGAAGACTTGGCTGTATGGGCATAGTTCCCTTTGCCTACCCAGAATGGGTGAAGAAAAAAAAAATATCTGCTTATATTCTTTTACGGTTGGCGCCATTTTCCAAAAATGTTCTTTGCGCGTTTAGTTGTTTGTTATATTATATATTAAATATACATGAAAAATCATACGAAATAAATAATAGTTTGTCTCAAACAGTAAATAAATATGCAACCTAAAACTTCTCCAGTTAGTATAAAAAACTGTACCAATGTATATGTGAACAATAATTTGTATAAGAAATAAATGATTAGTGAGTTGAGTTTATTGTTTTTTTATTATTTTATTAAATTGCATAATTTTTTCGCAACTGTATTAAAAATAGTTGTTCAGTACACGTGCGGAACCGTCATTGCAACTTGTTCCGACTGTCAACCCTCACCTTCGGCTGCGCCTCGGCTCGGGTAGACATTTGTCGAAACTCTTTGCAATGACAGGCTTTCCGCACTTGTAATGAAATATACTAATTTGTATGATATTTTTTCACAAATTGCAGAATAATAACACGTCAAATTGTATAGGTTTTATAGTCACTAATAAAAACTCCGAAACCCTTTTTGAAATCTTGTCAATTACTGACACTTCAATCATTCGAATCGGACAGGAGCTATGTTTGGAAACGCAAACTTAAACAGAAACCAAATTCTATTTAATTTGTGCAACGAAATATTTTTGTAGTAACGTGAATTGCAAATTTAAGTCAAATTGGGTTTTCCTAAAATTTTAATACTAAATGTATATTCCTTCCATAGGTTTGTCGTCAATAAAATAATAACTTAGTACTCGTATATGAGACTTTATTAAAATATGTAGTAGGTACTGGCTTCTTATAAAGTTTTTGACATAACAACTATTGGGTTATTATAGTAAGATTCGGACATTTAACACTCGTCACGTTTTGTGTATTAAAAGGATATTAATATTTTGAATATGGGTGACATTCGCCAAAGTATTTAACGAAAATGTTGTTTTGTTTTTTCTTCTCTTCTTTCTTTTCCTTTTCTTCTTTACTTCGTTGACAGTAAAATTCGCATATATTCGGATAAGTATATCCATCGCTACCACACACCGGCGCAAAGATTTCAGGGCAAAGACATTGTCCACAACGACCCTTTGCTTTTATAAATATTAATTCTTTATCTTTTAGTTTTTTGTTTTTACAGTTTAACTGACATTCATTTTCATATGTCTCATCATCACTTCCGCAGACTGGATCGTAAATATTGTAGCAGTAACATTCTTTGCAAAGTCCTATATTTTTAATAGTGATAGGGAATTGTATTACTTCGTCTTTTTTTCCTGAAGTTTTATCTTGAACAACTATATCTGTTGTTTGTTTATCTTCGCTTTTAGTAATTTCTATACCTTCATATTCATCGCGTTTATATCTGGGGTGTGAATAGTCATCGTATCCATTGCCCCCGTAAAAGAATCGATACGAATTATAATAATTTGGTAGGTGTCCACCTGCATATCCAAAAGTATTGTATCTATAATCATTATTGTAGTTATTACCGTAGCCATTAATATATTTAGTGTTTTCATATTCATGTGTTTCATACTCATAAGGTGGTCTTAAATTTGTGTTAACACAATCTAGTATACAATAGTTTTTATAAGACTTTTGATCACTGCCACATACAGGTTGAACTATATCTAAACACTTGCATGGGTACGTACAAGCCCCTTTCTTAACAATTTCAATTGGTGTTAGGCCAGATTCTTCAATCTGTTTACTTTCACACTCTAAAATGCATGGACTTTTATAAGTTTGGCCGTCACTTCCACACACGTTTTCTTCCGGAGATTTACAATCGCATTTTACTTTACACAGACCTGGATAAGATATACTTATATATTTTTCTGGATCTTTTAATTCCTTGTTATTGCACATAAGTTCACATTCATTTGGATATGTTTTCCCATCAGTTCCACAAACTGGTTCGTAAATATCAGAGCAGATACAATCATCGGAACATTTACCGTAACTTACTATTATTAATGGTTTTTCACCATTCTTCTCTAGTTCCCTGTTTTTGCAGTTTAAAAGGCAATCATTCCCAAACGTAATACCACCAATAGAGCAAATAGGTTGATAAATTGTGGGACAAAAACAATTGGTATCTTCTTTACATTCACCTTCATAAGATATAAACACTTTAATATCTTTTTTATTTTCAATATTGTAACATTTTACTTCGCATTCATTTGCATATGTTTTTCCATCCGATCCACAGACTGGTGCATATATTTTAGAACACAGACAACCTTCTTCCTTTTTACATTCTCCTGGGTATGCAATGGAAACTGGATCTTTTTTATTTTCGATATTGTAACATTTTAGTTCACATTCATTTGCATATGTTTTTCCATTCGAAGCACAGACTGGTGCATAGATTTTAGAACACAGACAGCTTTCTTCCTTTTTTACATTCTCCTGAGTATGCAATAGTAACTGGATCTTTTTTATTTTTGATATTAGAACATGCCAGTTCACACTCATTATTGTAAGTTTTCCCATCTGATCCACAAACAGGGTCAACATTAAGCGGGCAGAAGCACCCTTCTTCTTTACATTCTCCTTCGTATGCTATAGTAACAATAGGGTCTTTCTTATTTTCTTCATTATAACATTTAAGCAAACACTCGTTATTATACGTTTTACCATCGGATCCACAAATCGGTAAGTAGATTTTAGTACAAACACAAGCTTCTTCCTTTTTACATTCGCCTTCATAGGATATTTTTATTGGGGAATCGTTTTGATTTTCATTGTTCTTGCATTTCAAAAGACACTCGTTGTTGTAGGTTTTTCGTCTGAACCACAAACAGGTTGGTATATTTTCGTACAAACACAGCTCTCTTCTTCTTTACATTCTCCGTCATATTTTGTGGTTACTAGAGGACCTTTTTCAATACCACCATTAAAGCATTTTAGTTCGCAGTCGTTGTCGTAAGTTTTTCCGTCTGACCCGCATATCGGTTTATAGATTTTCGTGCATATACAAGACTGACGCGGGATTCTAGTAGCTTCAGTTGTATACGCTTGAATAAACAGGATTGCGTACAACCCTGAAAAATGACAGAATATTAAATTAATAGACATTTGCCTATAATTTTATAAAATTTTAATTCTTTTTACTCACCAAGCGTGATGTCTATATGTTTTTTACGCGCCATCGTGAATAGTTCTAAAACTAAAATGCACAAATAATAACAATTCAGACTAATTGTTAACGGAAATATAACAATTAATATTGTAGATGATTGTAGGATCTGATTTATAATTGTATTTATATTTGACTATGCTATATTTTAATTGTTGAAGTTATTAATATCTATATGATGCTATTAGAATAGTAAATAAGAATCTATGCAAATCAAGGAAAAAAAGGAAGTTTATTTATTTATTCACAAAAATACTAAACCAATATGATAATGTCGAAAAATAAATGAAATATTACAAAATATATAATATGAAATACATAAGATACACAATATCGCTACTGTGAACTCACTCTGCGAACATAATATAAAGATATCGTAAATTATCTTTATTACAATTAAAATATATTTTATATATTAAACACGGCACGACAATTTTGTCGTGCTCCCTTTAAAATTGTAAAGAAATTAAGTATGTATATATAGAATATTAAATTAATCTTTAATAATATTTTTTTATGTAATAGGAGGCATACGAGCAGGAGGCTCACCTGAGGTTCAGTGATACCGGCGCCCATGGACGCACACATGGCCAGAAGGCTCGAAAGTGTCTTTTAAGAATTGGTACGCTCTTGTCTTGAAAGACTCTAAGTCCAACGGGGTCGGAAATACTTGAGTTAATAATTTTACCCTTCGTTAAGTGGTACTTAATAAACAAAGAAACAAAAATCATTTATTCATGTAGGTAACACAATGCACTCTTATGAACGTCAAAAAAATAAGAAATATACATTAAATGCTTCTAATTTTACATTTACTGCCAGTTCTCAAATCAAGGGCGGAGAACGAAAGAGAACTGGCAATAAACTCTCCGCCACTCTTTTTATTTTTAAATAAAATTACACGCCTCGCAGTGCTCTACTCTCGACATGTCAAAAAACCCAATCTTTCGAAACTTGAATAACTTTTTTCTCACTAATATAACACTTACAGGATAATATGAGTGCACTAAAATCGAGTTAAATAATCCATCAAGCACATGGTATTTTTTATGAACAATTATTTTGTTTAACATAGTAAATAATAACATTAAAATCAATCATTCTTGGACGTCCGTCAGTCTGTGTTTATGGATCCATGTATGTGGCAGAGAAATTGGTTGAAAAATGTATCGTACCAGAATACTTTTTTTCTTATTATATAAAGTTATACCCTTGGGCTGATTCCTAGTTAATATTAGCGTTCTATGTACTGTCGTTTAATTATAATTTGTAAAAAACTAAAATACGACTGTATTTGTTTTGTATATCTATATATACATTTATTTTAGTATATTTTTTTTCCTCACCTTAGAGTTATGGCGCCACTATATATTTTTTTATTATATTAATGTTTTTTTCCAATCATTCATTTTCATTTATTTAATATTTTTTTTGTTATTTTGTTTTAAAAAACTTGAGTTTTTGTTTTAGATTTTTTTTAAATGTGAATGACCGCTATGAGGCGTGCACTTTTGGATTTTCCAAACTATATTCTATTGCATTAAAATGAATCAACGATTAGCCAAGTAGGTACGGTGGTGTTTGTAAATTAATACGGTCGTTTGTAAGATTATCAAACTCAAATTTATTCTAACGAATTAAACATTGACAATATTCTTAAACTACATAGTAATAATAATAATTAAAATAGATAAATAGAAAATTAAAAAATAAATAAATCAGTGGCGCGAAATAATCAGAGCGAATGTTAAATGTGTACATAAACAAAAAGTCCATTGGTGCTCAACCGGGGATCAAACCTACGACTTCAGGGATGAGAGTCGCACGCTGAAGCCACTAGGCCAACACTGCTCTGAAATAGAGGGGTAAAACAAATTTAGAAAGTTTGGTCCCTGTACCCGTGTATCTTTAATGCTGGCAGCATTTCTTCACTGTATTGCGATATTTATTTTTATTTAATTTAATGAGAAAGATTTACAGCTTATTACTAACTTACTTAATATAATGTTATTTTTACGCCATTAAATAAAACTTTACATATAGCTAAGTACTAATAATATTAACTAGATTGGTAACATTAAAATGATTTTATTCAATTATATATATCAAAGAAAGTAATAAACTAAGTAAAAATTGGTTAAGTAACACTTAACAGTTTAGTATAACTTATACACTTATAAAAACTTATGATTCACAATTTATTCCTCTGAGGAGCTCAGATGTCAGAGCTCTCCTTGCCTAAGTTAAACTTAAGGTAGGTTAAGTATATTATAAATACTGTATTTGTGTGTTGGCGATAATATCAAGCGAAAAAAAAAACAATTACTATTTTTAGAAGAATCAAACCAATGACTTAAAGAAACCAAGTGACCAATTTAGCCACGGAGTTCAAGACCGACGTAATTATAATTCCATATCGTTATTTACTTTGTTACGGATAATACAAATCATGCGTACGCGCACAGGAATCTGTTGCGTGATACATGCAATTGTATAATTTGAGAAGCAAAATATTATATCATTATTGCCGAAAACATTGTTTCATACATAATTAATCCTGAATTCTAATTGCTTTTAATTTACAATGATCTCGTGTTCAGCAGTATAGGTTTTCGTATATTTATTATTTTCAAAGACCTCGAAACATGAATTGAAATATATTTTAAATCAGTGTGTACACGTCATGCTATCAAAATCAAATCAAAATAGCATTTATTTATGTTGGTACACTGTATACATATCAAAACAGTAAATTAATGCTTCTAATTACGGCCAGGTCTCAAAAGAGTATAGAACGAACAAAAAAACTGTAATATACTTTTATTTCATTCAAAATGTTTGCTATGTATGAACAATATTTCATTAAATACATGAGGGTTTATTATTATAAGTTGAAGACAGAGATCGGGACAGCTATTTCCGATTACGCAACCGAATAGAAGAAGCCTTGCAAATCTTCAGCGTTGACGGTACCCAGACATCGTTTTTGGATGTGTGGAGGTCCCACGGCCATCTTGTTTTTCGTTTTTTTGCACCAAGACTTCAACCAAATTGCCGTCAGTTCTTGACCAAATACTGCAAATCCAATCCCACTAGGGGCTACCCTTTAAGTGGGCCGTTGAAAGTTTTTTTACAAATATTCAGACCCTGGACTAGCCACATTTTTTATCTTCTCACTTTTGGACTTTCTGCACGAAACTGCAAAAGCTATCCTTTCTAACCCCTCGAAATAAAAAGCGACGAATGCATGAAACGTTGTAATTCAGCGTTATATAGTATAATATATATATATATCTTTAGTAAAAATTAAATGGCTATGTTATACTGAACCATAATCTCAAAACATTAATAGTTATTATGTAGAAATTACATCTTTACAATCCTACACTTGTATATACAATTGAAAATTCCACATTATATGATATTATATAAATTATAAAGGTGAAGTAATCTACGTGTATATATATGAGATTACAAGTTTTATGTTGGTATTAAAGAGAATAAATCCATTAAATTATATCAGGATCGTTTTCAATATATTCTAGTTAGCATGTTTCTTCGACAACACAAAAATTTGATTACATTTTTCAATAACATTCTTTATGTAAAGTTGTATGTAAATACTCTTAACACGCGTTATCACTTTAATATAGAACGCTGTAATTCATAAATAGATCAAAATATGACAGACTCTGTGGCCTTTAAACATAACTCACTTTTATACGTATTCAGATATTATATGCCCCAGCTAAATTGTTCAGCGTTGCTCGTGTTTTTCCTTATTGAAATAAAATATTTGCGAGTTCCGCTCAGTTTGGTCCTGTAACTGAACCTCTGTTATTGTTTTGCGCTGACCGACTTTTGTCATACAATTTTATTAGGATGGTAATAAAAATATAGCCCGGTTTGTTTTAGGGGTATTTACACGACAGAAGCTTCATTACAGAGAAATACGAAACAACACACATTAGGTATAAAGAAATACCTTCTCTCGTATACGTAGTTTCCATATCATATAATCTCGACTTAGTATTTTCCATCACATTATCTGAAATATCGCGCATAGATATTTTTTCACAATTATAAGATATTCAAGAATAAACACTATCTCACAAATTATTAAACTATATAAATAATTAATTCAATATTTATAACATTGCGAACAATTGACAGTGTTGAATGGCGCCAAAACTAATGACATACCGCGCATGCGCGGTAGCGGGCGGGCGCTGCCACAGAGAAGTTATAAGCTATAGAGATTAAGTCTTCGCACTCGAGTAGCGTCCGGTTAACCCATTGACAAATATGTCTGTAATAATATTATGTCCCAACGATTTTTGGGTTTGACTTTGCCCTATGTGGTATTACTAAATTTTATTTGTTGAAAAACTGTTCTTAGGTTAAAATTTCATTTTATTAGTTTTGGATAAGAATGAATGATATGAGCGTAGAAAAGTATTTACAAACTAGATAATATATGCTTCCACAGTTATACTATGTAATTATTGAAATATAGTATTTTCCTATTATACAGACATATGATAGATGCGGGAATAACGATGGCGATGCGGAATCAATCTTCGGCAAATGTGATTACACTCACGTACAAAACGAATTACGTTTTTGCTAAATCACGCGTTGCCAATACTATCAAATCAATGGATACTATCTCTCCAGTATGAAATTTTTATTACGATATAAATCATTTATACAATAATGTCTACTTGATGGATTTTATTGATCTTTTGATTTTTCTTTACTTTTCATTGATTTATAAAGTATTTGGTCATCGGGAGACGTTTAAATATCATTACAAATTGGTCAGTTTATTTTTAGTACCTAGTCAAGTTTTTCGTTTTAACAAATTATAAGATTTGTTTTATTAAAAACGAAAGTAATGTTACCTTCTACTTATTGTAAGCCTTATAAATACTGTTTTCCGACGTGGTATGAATATAAAATAAATGATAATCTTACAATGTATGGCTATTATTAATTACTAGCAGACCCGACAGACGTTGTCCGTTATACACGTAAATCTAAACCTCTCGAATCCACTCGAACACACACAAAGCATTTCACCAACATCGGTTTACGAGTTTCAGTACACATATACAGAGATAATTTATGCATAAAGATAATGTTACATGTGATTGTCAACGCTTATATGTAGTCATACCTAGACCTAATGTGATATAATTCACGTATTTAAATACAGTTAACGAGTAAAGGGCCAAGTTTCACGCTGTTGATGTGTAGCCAGGCGCCGCTCGCGAATATATCTTCTCAATAGAAACAGTAGTTCTAATACAGTCAGAATACTGCAACCGAAGAATATGTTAAATACTCCGCCTAGTTGTCCTGAAAAAAGTCATAGACTATATCACAACTGTGTGATATATAAAGTTTGTTATCTGTGTCTTTCAACGTGAATAATGCGTCAAATAAGGCATAGAGGCAATAAAAGTTAGTGATACCTACCGCCTACCTGTGTAATTTGCTGAAAATCAAGTGTTATAATGTTTATAAACAAATGAAACATTTGGAGAACCCGAAAAAAGCATAAAGGTCTCGTTACCAGGCCATAAAGTTAAAAAAATCTTGTGAAGAACTTACCAAACAAATTAGACCTCGAAAAATATGACCGTCGAGAGTTAACTGTCTTTGTATACCCATGTACATACAGCCTTATTATGGTCACTTTACTCAGGTCCAGATTATCACTGTAAAAGTTAATTAAATACAGAAACTAAGCTTTCATTAAGCCATACTGATTTTATATTTAAATACTTTTATGCAAATTTAAATTCTTTAATTTAATCACTAAGTTTTATTTTAAAAATATACCTACCCTCGTTTATTTTTTAGATAAGGAAAACAATAGTTGTTCAGCCATACTTTGTAGCTTCTAATACAATTCTGTATTTTATGTTTTTATTTAATAAAGGAAACATGGCAGACTCATCACAAATACACATATAAAAAGTAATATATGTTATAATTAGACGTGTCCTTAAATTACTCTACATATAAGATAATGTTTAGGAGGGAAAACACAACTAAGGTAAACAGAAATATAAAATATTATAAAGGCTAAACCCTTTTTATCAAGCAAATTTCTACTGAATTTTTCAACGCAGTTTTAAATAAATGTACAAAGTATAAGTGAGCAGTGTTGGCCTTGTGGCTTCAGTGTGCGATTCTCATCCCTAAGACCTTATAGGTTCGATCCCTAGCTGTGCACATAATACAGTTACGATCTATGTGCTCAAACGGTGAAGGAAAACATCGCGAGGAAACCGGCTTGCCATAGGCTTTAAAATAGTAGACGGCGTGTATCAGGCACAGGAGGCTGATCACCTACTTGTAGATTTACAAATGGTCGTGAAACAGATACAGAAATCTGAGGCCCAGACCTAAAACGGTTGTAGTGCCACTGTTTTAATTATTTTTTATAAAGTATCCAAGTCCAAGATATAAAAATTATAGATGTAGGAAAAACTATGGTTTTACTACCCGTTTACTTACTTTTAATACTTAAAAGGTTTTGTTATTTACAGGATAAAAAGGAAAGCTGTGTTGAGCTAGGGAATTCAGCGTGCGACTCTCATTCCTGGGGTCTTGGATGCAAACCAACTGTGCAGCAATGGACTATTCTGTATGCGCATCTAAAGATCTAGGAGAGAGAAAACGAAATACATCGTGAGGAAACCGGCATACCATAGAACAAAAAAGCCAACAGCTTGTGTCAGACACAGAACCATATTCTATACGGCAAGTAGGTGACTTGCCATATAGAATAAACTAAAATTATTTTACGAATTACAGAAATCTGATTTTTTTTAGAATAAAAACCACTCACAACCACGAGGTCTTTTTCATAAAAAAATATTTTTGTAAAAAACTGCATCGTAAGATAATAATATATGACTAGGTAAAAATAAAAAAAAATGGTGCGTGTACTTATGCACGCGCGTAAGAAGTTATACTTCTTTGGCTTTCTTAATTTTTTTGAATATTAAATAATTAATAATAAATATTTAGCGTTAATAATTTAACAATATTTAATATTTAGTATATTATTCAATTATTTATTAATATTAATAATTATTATTATTTATTATTTTATTATATCATTAATTCAATTTAATAACTAGGTATGTTTCATAACCTTTTAACTAAGTAACAATATGTCTTTGTGAAAAAGCATTGCTAATTTTCTTTGATAAAATAATTAAAACTCCTTTATTTGTTTAAAAGGTACTACAAATGTCATTATGGTCATTCAAAATTCTTGGCATAGGTGCTAACGTCACGCATATTCTATTTCTTTTTACTTGTAGATTGTCTTATTCCCATCTCGCTCGCGCACGCTCGGCGCCCATACTGATAATTTTGTGTCACGGTGCGCGCGCATCGTAAAATTTCACTCTCATACATTTTTCATAACGCGCCTAAAGAAGTATAACTTCAAAAAGTGCATTTGCAAAATAATCAGGTGCATTTTTGTTTCCTAGTGTGATCATTGAATTTTTTGTCGCTCATAGATATTAAGAGTAACTAGAAAGACCAAATTCAGCTATAGCTACATACAGATTAACACAGACAAAAGTTAAGAGCATATATTTTTAGTATAACTTACTAAAATGTATCATACGTAGGCGTATCTGGAGTTAATGGGAATGAAAAATGTCTCGTGTTTAGAGTCTCCTTTTCGCAAGCCAATGGGCATTGGCAAACATCAAATCGATCTGAAAAAAACAAAAAACATTTCAGACTTATAATAACACTAGTGGACCCGACAGACGTTGTCCTGCATGATATTTCAAGCGATTAGTAAAGCAAAGTATGAAAGTACCGACTGCAGCGCCATCTGGCGGGCTGATTTGTGAATCTAAACCATTCCCAGATCCCCTTGAACACACACAAAAAATTTCATCAAAATCGGTCCAGTCGTTTGAGAGAAGTTCAGTGACATACACACTCACAGAAGAATTATATATATAAAGATTACTAGTAAAGCCTTTTCGAAAAAAGGAAATTCTATTGAAGATGATAAAATATTAACGAACTCCGCTTAGTTAAAATTAAGAACTAAAATAAAAAGATACAACTTTAAAAACCTTACGTCAACATTACCTAGGTATCTATGAGATCATCATGAAATGTTTGGAAATTTTTTTTAAGAAATTTGGGCTGTTTGCTGGAATATAACTTTTTAATTCGTAAATTTCTGGACATGTTCGCGAAAATAATGTTTAAATAACTTTAGTTCTTATTACAAAAATAATGTTTTTTTATTTACATGAGAAACTTAATATGTATATACGAACGAGATACACGTCACCATCAGCCGTCCCAATATTAGTCTACTAGGCTCATTCTGATATGTATCTTTAATGCCCTTTTGAATTGGTTAAACGCGCTAATATCACGAATTTAAGACGGTAATTAATTAAATAATTGCACACCCTCATACCTAATAGACTTCTTGAAATAATTTGTACGCGGCTTCCGCAAGATAAGCAAACTCACTCGACGAGTATTGCGTGTAGTGTTGTGTTTGATTTTGTTTAATGATAAGCCACAAAATAGATAATACATACTACATACTGATAACTATAAATTATAAATATGTTATCACTGTACAATCGGAGAACTTTAGTCGGTGTTACCTTCCTGCATAAATTGCTCAATAATCATATACAGAGCAGTGGCCTCTTACAAAAAATTTAAATTGTCGTCCCTTACTCATTCCCTAGGTTTAAAATCAACAATAAATTCCAAATTCCTTCTGCCAAAACCAACCTAGGAGTTCAGGCACCTCTCGTTCGAATTCTTCGTGATTTTAACGGATTGATCACAGCTTATCCGGAGCTGGATATATTCGGTAGTGGGCTGATCGGTTTCTTTTTTTCTGCTTTAAGTGCCAACAAATTTCTATAATTTTATTTTATTTTATTGTGTGCTTGTATTATCTTGTATAATATGTTTTAATTGTATTTTTTAATTTTAATTTTTAATTTCTATTTTTTTTTTGTGAAACTTATGTTTACTTTAATGCCTTTAGTACACCTACGCGTTCGTATGCGGCTGCGAATCTTTGCGAAATAATTGCGGTAGCGAAATATCTGCGGAACGTTAGTACACTGCAGGTTTTTCGCAAGGATATGTCATTGTAGCTTTCGTGTGCTGTAGGTGCAGACGTCGTTTCAGAATGTCATCTGAGTCGTCCCAGTCGTCGCTTTCAGATTCTGAAGAGGATTTTGTAATCAACATGCCCAACTAAAGGCGTTGCATCTATTTAAGATGTGTGACAGTTACGCCTTTAGTACACCTACGCAATCGCATGCGGCAGCGAAACGACGAAAAAACTGTAAGTTGTATGGCAACGTTTCGCATGTGTTTTGTCTCGCTCTAATATATAGCTAGATGAAATAGTTGCGTCCTTGTCGGTATTGTTTCGCAAGTAACTGCGAAATGGCTGTTACACAGACGCAGCCGTTTCGCTACTGGAGTTTCGCATCGCAAGGCGTCACCACACGTTCTGTCAGTGAGGACAGAATTTCGCACAATGGAAGCCGAAAATATTGAATTATTATTGAATTTGATTCGAAATTATCCTGAATTATATTTAGTTGGGCATGTTGATTACAAAATCCTCTTCAGAATCTGAAAGCGACGACTGGGACGACTCAGATGACATTCTGAAACGACGTCTGCACCTACAGCCCACGAAAGCTACAATGACATATTCTTGCGAAAAACCTGCAGTGTACTAACGTTCCGCAGATATTTCGCTACCGCAATTATTTCGCAAAGATTCGCAGCCGCATACGAACGCGTAGGTGTACTAAAGGCGTAAGATTTTGTAAAATAATTAGTAGATTTAGTAGTAAGTGTGATGTCGTAAGCTTAATAACTAAATATAAAAAACTTTCTTTCCTTAAGTCGTTAAGAAGTATACCTGCAGCTGCTCTAGCGCATGCTAACTGTCTAGGGCCGCATATGGGCATTCCAAGCACGGGAGGATAATTCAATAGAGCGCACTTACACCGCAATGCCACTCGATCCATTTTACACTCGAACATGCAATAGCGTCTGCAAAAGATACCACAATTAATGTAAAACAACTTTAAACCATTGCTGCATTGGCTCGGTACACTGAACTATGACAAAACAGAATTACTCTTAATTCCTACATTATACATTTTTCCTTAATCCATCTTTTTCATGCACACTTTCACTTAGATTTGTTTCGTCTTTCACACACACACAATTACACATTAATATCATCATATTCATAAATTTATTTCTTTTTCTTTTTTTAACGAACATACCCTCGTTTTATAACCAATTTTGTTGGTTATTTTTGTTGAAATAAAGTTATAAGTATATGTGTACCTCGTACTTTAATTTACATATATATATATTCTGTACGATCATACTGTTCTTTATAGATTGGAGAAAATTGATTTGTACAAATTGTTTCTATTAATAGACAACTACTTCATTGTGTGGATTACCTTACCTATTTCATTTTATTTTTGAAGTGAAACTTCTTAATCGGGGTTGGAAAAAAAATTAGTGTAACATTTTTTTGTTACGCGTCACATTTTTCCGTTACGCGCCATCTTTTGAAGTGAAACTTCTTTATCGACGTATGGGAGAAATTTTGTAGCAGGTTACGTGCCATGTTGCTTTTTGAAGTCAAACTTCTTTATCGGCGTTGAAAAAAATTTACACACATTTGTCACATTTTTCGGTTACGCGCCATCTTTTTATTGTCCCTACCACGGTTGATCCGAAGAGATTCGAAGCCATTAGTAACAAAATTATATAATAACGATAACAATGATAGTAATACTAATAATTCTATTACAATTAATGAAAGTATAAATATAAGTAATGAGTAATAAGTTAAAATGAAATAATTGTATTTGTATTCATGTCTATGATAATAAAAGCCTTTTGTTAAACTTTATCTAATTTAACTTTATTTAACCAATTTCTGTAAAGTTGCATATAGTAGATAATTTTTCGAAAAATAAGGTCATAAAGAAGTTTCACTTCTTACGTGTGTACACCTAGTAGGTACACGCACACATTTTTTATCTATATTAAATATACATGTTAATACACAACATACCTCTGATATACTGGAAAGTATTTAAGTGGTTCATTAGCTAAGTAGCAACGGCGAAGTTTTGGACTGAGGCTGCGAGCTTCTTCAGAGAGCTGAATGGACTTCATTGTATAGCCTGCCCACACCTCTATACCAGGAGGTATAGGGACACCGTTTGATACGACATCAACGTACATATTTCCGGGACTTAACGCGGTTATCTGTACCAAAAAAAATTTAACAGATGATAAGGGACGTTATACTTTTAGCAAAAAGTGAGCGGTTTTTCAATTAAGGTGAAAAATTAAATAATAAAACAGACCTTAAAAAAACGCAGAAATCAGTACGTTCATTATTAAATATATCATATCATAAAATTTGTTTTACCAAAGGAAACATTACCTATGAAATTGTAACCTTTTAACCGTTGGATCTCTCAAAACTTTTTTCTCATGATTTTAATATTCTACTCAAAGAAGACACACTAGAACTGACATTATATTATATAATGAGTCGTTTACCCATTTGTACGATAAATCTAAATTAACTGGAGGCTTCGACACATTCTGTTCAATTGCGATGTTTAATCCATACATTATTCCCATTTTATATATGTGCATCTTTTCAACCTCCTTTTTAATGAGTTTAGGTTCTCGTACCTCTCTGCAAAATAATTAATTCTTTGAAATCTTTTAAGTATTTTTACCTCGTCTTTCCCGTATTATTATGTAAAATTTGTGATCGTAATGTTTGAGTATTACTGTGTTTTAGAACATACAATTATTTCATTAGCAATAATATCTTAATATATATAAATTACGTGTCACGTTGTTTGTCCGCTATGGACTCCTAAACTACCGAACCGATATCAATCAAATGCACACCGTGTGCAGTTTGATCTCACTTAAAAGATAGGATAGCGTACATCTTAATTTATACCAGCAATATTATTTTATTGCAAAATATTTGTTTATTATTTGATAGTCATAATTCTAACAGATGGCGCTGTGTTGAAAGTACCAACGTTTCACATAAGCTACAATTTAATGGCATAACCACCAAAAAAGCATGGTGGTCCCCATAACTGGTGTTCTCCTACCGTTTCCCTTGAATAGTTTGCTACTATGTAATATAACAAAAACCTTAGCCACAGCAACGTTTGGCCGGTCAGCTAGTATAATTATAAAAACTGTACTAATGTAGTTCGTAGTTTTAATTATTAGAATAAGAGGTAAAATCTAAATATTAAAGTTTTAACCTTCTGAACGAGCGTCCATTGAAAATGCAACAAAAACCGTAGCGAGTTAGTTCCATGTGAAATAATGAGGAACAGTTTGCGTCTCTGCCCCTCCAGGAACACCTAAAAATGTGATTTAGAATTTGACTAGCAACTTGGTATAACAACTTACGTTTAGTATTGAAAAAAATATTTTGGATGAGGATCAGCGCTGACTTGGCACCTCTAAAATGTCCAGAAACCGATTTATGATTCTAGCCCGGGATACTTTCAAAAATCCACATGGTCAAAGTTGTCAAAAACCAGGCTTACACAGTAACTTACGATAAATTTGCAATATTATGTACGTACTTTAGTATTGTTTCGTCACAGGTGGCTGTCAGCCGGAGGCTAGCACTTTCAACATCGAGCTTGTTGTATGCCAACAGTTCTAATATGCTCTCTAAATCTTTTACTTCGTACACAGTATCACTGGAGTACAATGCTGCTAACTGTGGTAAAACTTCTCTAATATAAGTAATGTTTGTTGACGGGGGAAACACTCTGAAAGAACTTTGCTCTAAGTTACTATATAAATATAAAAAATAGTTTATTTGCTTCGCAGCTGGTCGTCCACATATTGCCGCTATAGTATGTGAAATGTGTGTGTGTAACACACAAAGACTGCCTTGAGGGGTTACATCTTAAACCTTTTTTTTTTTTTTGTTATTCGAGGTGGAAATGCATTTGCGCATCCCCTGAACAGGGGTATGTGGGACTCGACCCACGCCAAAATCTCTGCTATTCAGAGACTGGGTGAGCAATACCCACTAAAACCACCTCGAGTAGTTCCGACAAAGCCGCGTTACAGAGGCTCCGGGGTCGCTGTCGCATTCTACCGGGACTACATCTTAAACCTATTAAGAAACTGTAAAATGTACAATTTCTTGGAATTTTAATTATGGTCTCGTGAAATTGCATACTATTTTACGGGTTGACCCGTGCTTCTTATAATATGCATAGGCTATTAGAACTGTTTATCCCCTACAACCTTCCCCAAAGTTTAGAACATGTGCCTATAAATAGTGGTTAAAAAGGCACCTACTAGACAGGCATGGTGTCCGAAAGACAGCATCTCACTTAACATTGTCTCAATCTCATCAATTTTATTAAAATTTATTTATAATATTTGGCTTATTGATTGGTCGTAACTTAAGGAGGTGCTCAATAACAATTGTGTTTTTTCAGCTGTTTTACATATATTATTAATACAAAATTGATAATCATTATATTACATATATTACGATAAGATTTGCATGCTTTTCATTCGTGACTACTTATGGTCAAACACTAGTTATCAATATAAATATGTACCTTATTCTATTAAGCCATATATTACATATATTATATATATAATACATATGTCACAATGTTTCTTACCATACTCGTCCGAAACGGCTCGACCAATTCTTATGAATTTTTTTATATTCAGTAAGTCTGAGAATCGGACAACATCTGTTTTTAATCCCCCTAAATGTTAGGGGTGGTACACAATCCTAAATTTTTATATTTATTTTTTAAACAAACCTTTTTGTTTTTATTTTTTTTATGATACAGCATACAAAAATACATACAACCCTTAATTGTCCCTCTACGATCAATCCCTATTTTTTATTATGGTTGATAATTATTTTTATTGAACTAAAAAAATGTTTCCTAGAAATAATATACATGGCAAAACGACGTTTGCCGGGTCAGCTAGTTATTTATAATATTTAAATGCATTCGACGAAATGGTTCGCCAGGTATAGTTTATTTATTAAAGTTTACCACATCATACATACGGTATATGTTACAAACTCTTTTATCTAAAATGTATGACAATGTAGGTAAACATACCTAACTTTTACAAAAAAATATTAAAAAATACAACTTAAATATATACAAGATAAAATAAAGGTACAATAAGAATACCAGAAATTTTTGTTAAGCAGATAAAAAATTACCAGCGAAACAGCGGATTAGGTTCGAGATAGGCTCTTAACAATGCTTTCTTTAGTAGATAGTTATAAATCAGTACCTACTTACAATTTACTGAGAAACTCATCAATCTTATGATCCAAGAAGTGAACCTGCGGGCATACCACAATGGTCGGAAAGTTCTTCAAAGACATTACAGGGGTGAGCTGTACGATGTACGTAGGATTATCATAGAATCTGGTGACTGTTACATAGACCACAGCCACTGAGCAAAAGATGAAAATCAGATGAGCAATTAACCATTGGAACCTGTGAAATAGAGTCTTTTAATACTTGAATCATTTAATCATGCTACATACGTATAATTTGTATTTACAATTTTCTTAACCTACAAAGAAATAATAACTACTCGATCTAGCGAACTGTGGAATCGACTCCCGGTGGGGGTCTTCCCTCAGAGATACGACCTCCAAATGTTTAAAAATCTAGTGTACTCCTCCCTCAAAGGCCGGCAACGCACCCACTAAAAATGGGTGTCTATGGGCTGCGAAGACTGCCCTTTTTGGTCGTCCCGTAAGCTCGTTGCCCCCCTAATTATATAGAAATTAAAACAAATTTAAAGAGTTTGGTCCCTGTGGCAGTGTACTTTTAACACTGGCAGAAACCGTCTTTTAATTAATTATTTTTGTATTTTTATTATTAAACTATTTATTAGGAATTTAGTGTAAGTAGTTTAATAGTTATTTTTAATTGTATACAACCTTGTAACCATACTGAAACAATAATTGATTTGCTTATCGAACCCAAAAATTACGGTTCTTCGCCATTTGTCTTATGGTAATGCTTAATGTAATGCAAATGGCGTATTACACATATCTCATAACATACATATTTTTTAATCACCATCTATATTCTTGGCGCGAGAATTTACTTTCGTTTCTTAGTTCGACTCTAAGGTTTGATGAGAGAGAGAAATAATATTTCGTCAACTTCGCATTTTGTCTGCCGTTCTAAAGTAGGCCTCACGAGCCTATTAACGGTTAATTGGACCTCTAGGGTAAGGTAGGATGTATAAGAAGATAGAAAGCCTTGGAGCTGTTATTTGAAGCAAAAACCATCGGTTTTGGCTTCAAATTTCTATGTCTGTTTCCTAGTTTTCTTTATATTTTTTATGATCTGTGTTTGGCTTACGTATAACAATTTTGGATCTTAGTATAAGCATATACCATATGAGAAAATATAATTAATATAGATATATAGAAAGAAAATTCCTCAGATCCACACCCACGTTTGACCTCTGGGTCGCGAAACTAATGTAATAAAACTGAAGGCAACCTTATAACCTTTTGGATTTATGATAAAAAAAGTTACACAGACATAATTGTAGGCAAAGCGATTTGCTACAAAATATGTCCTCACAATTTTTTTGTACGATGGATACTTTAGGAGATATAGCCAAAAACGTGTTTTCACTCCTTATTCCAAGATGGAGGACAAACTTGGATTTAAGCTTGTATTGACCCCCCCTACATGTCCCATAAATAAAATTGCGTCCTCTAAATCTTCAGCCCATGTAAAATTTCATGAAAAGCTTGTTATTACTACACTATTGTGTCGTGCTATCATTTGACACATTATTCTAAAATCAAAAATACCTATCCCTCGAAGACGCAAGTCTTGCAGCTCCGTGGAACTGTGCTCTATTTAACAGTTCTATCCAATCCATTGCGAACCACGGACTGTTCACACAAAGTATCATTAAGACTCGTAAAATGCATGTAATTTATCAAAGTGACAGTAATTAGATACAACGATAATATCCTTTTACTGAAACCAATAAATTGAATGTCAGCGGAATTATTTATGGAGGACTTTATGGCCGTATCGTCGGTTTTATGGTTAGGAATAGTTGTTAATCATCAGCCGCTGGTAAATTATGTATCGAATCAATTTGTCTTTGATGCATGCTTTATTTATTATTAAAAACCAAAGTTGGAATAGAAAATTGATTTGAAATGACACTAGAATATTAGCGAAATAATGAAATGTTAATTGCTATGTAAAGAATGAATGCAATGTAACAGTTGAAGAGAGTGCCAACGTCTGGCTGTACTCTCGGGGTGTAACTTCAACGATTTAGGAAATCTCCACGCTTATAAAACTAAGAAAGACTGAGTGAGCAAAATGAACAGCCTTGGCTTGTCCACATTTATATGTTGTGAATGTTTTGTAATTGAGCTTTAACGTATTTTTTTCGTAAAGCAATAGAAACAGAATTCAGTTTTATGTACTTACTTATTATTATAAGCTATTATGCTAAACTATTTCGATATTATATGAACTTCCCTCATGAATGCAAGTCAATTTCCTAAGTCTGTACGTAGTACGTATGTACGTATCTTACGTTCTCTATCTCTTTTGTTCCATCCAATTCAATTCTAAAATTCCTTCTTACCTCAAAAACGATTTCAAATTTATGGGAGCCCATAGCTATAGCCTACGCTAAAACTATATCTATCTATATAGTCTCTGCAACGAGGCTATGGAATTTACGTTCCGTCCCTATGTGCTTAGCTTCTTCTCTATCTTCATTTAAATCTCTACTGTACAAACATGTGTCGACATGTCGTCGATGTCGTATCCTTAATATTCGTACTAACTGATCTAACTAAAATTATTGTGATTCATGTGCCCTTTTCATTTACATGTGTCCAGTTCACTGACTACATATAATGTTTTAATTACATTGTTTTGTTTATTATTTTTGTCTAAGTAATTGGATATCTTTTGTTGCACTATTTGAGCTTATTCAATTGTTTTCTTTGTTTTTATAAGAAATAACAAAACAGTACTTGTATGATCGCTTTATATTCAAAGAAAATATTTTTTGTCCAATAATAAGGTGTATTCTCAAGAGAAATAAACAAAGTAGCACCGAGGTCGGGGACAGTGTTATAAATTGTCTATCGGTTTGGACGTGGGAATAAGACAGGAATATCGCTATTGCATATTTTTTATTATATATCCATATAAAATATCTTGTATCTTGTTACTTTTATCATCGAGTAGTTTTGGGTGATCTGGGACGACGATAAGCTTGGCTGGTGTGAAATTTAGGTGATCGCCATCCTTTCTTTAGTAACAGATATTTCTTTATGCTTCCAGCCTTGCGATTCTGTAACTCATATCACTTTTCGAACTCATACACTGGTAGTCACAGCGGCGGTCGCGCTCAAATCAGTCGTAAAGCAGTCATTTTAACGCGAAAACCGCTGTGTGAGTTCGAAAAGTAAGTTACAGAATCGCAAGGCTGGACTAATTAAGAATTCTTCTCTGTTTCTGACGCCATAATGGGATTGAGGGTTATACAACTGAGCTTTAGATTTGAATAATATATTAATTTAGTGCATTTGTGATAAAAAGTTCGAAAGAGGCGGCTTTTTATTTATTATTTCCGACCGATCTGGATGATCAAGATCTGAAATGATTTGGATTTGCAAATTTTCAGGTCTTAACTTCATATCCCATGTATAAATAATAATTATCGCTAAACACATTTAACTCTCTTGGTAATACATAACCGACCAAGAGAAATAAGAAATAATGTTATTTAGAACATAGTGCCTTTTTAAAAAAAAATTAGGCTGTCGTGTTTTTAATGTGTTAACTGTGAAAAACTGTTTTCTAATCCAAAATGAATTATGTTTAATTCAAGATCAGAAAATATACAATAACGTCTACTTGATAACCGTAATAGTTAATAAATGTTATTCCGGATTTATTTACTGTAAAAGTAGTAGTCAAGAAGAAAATCTTTAAACAAAATCGGAAAATAAATTCAATTCCTACATAATTATTATGGTCTTAAGTATATAGCACAATGCATCATTAATTATTAATTGTTGTATAATATGTGACGACGCAAGTAACAAGCTTGTACAATTAGTGCGGTGTCATATTTCGTTACTGATTTAGTGCAAACTAATATGCGTGGTCCATTCCTAATAGTTAATACAATTTTACAAGTTCGTTCGTTTTTCTCCATTTACTAGCTCAGAGGAAAATATATTTTAGACCCAGAGCAGTCGACGGCGTGCGTAGTGTGTGAAAGCCACTTAGAAAAAACAAATATTTACGAAACAATTAAAGAAATACAATGACAAAAAAAGAATACGAAGACCAAAAGTATCGCCATATTATCTCTAGATGTTTCTCCAAACTATGCATCACTGCCTGATACTACAGTAGTTGCAAATTAGACAATTAATGCATTGTAATCTAAAAATTTCTTACTTAATTAATTAATTTAAGATTAACAGTTATGAGTTTCAACTAGTTTCTTGCATCGGCTACCTATATCAATCAATGTTTTGAAGGGCTTAGTAATTTTATGTTATATATATGATTAGTATGAGTATGTATGTTTAAAATATTTAACGTCCTGGTGGACAGAAATACTATGTCTACTTAGCTTCTGTTTCCATCACATTTCTGTCACTGACCAACACTGTGTGGAACCAGCTGCCCACTGAAGTATTTCCGAACCAATTTGACTTAGGGTCCTTCAAGAAAGGAGCGTACCAGTTCTTAAAAGGCCGGCATACGAGTCTTCTGGCAGTCCGAGTGTCCATGAGCCTCCGCCCGTCTGCCTCTTGTAACATAAAAAAATATTCTTCTTTTTTAAATAAAACAAAACTGTAAGAAATTTGATTGGTCATACAGTCCCAAACTTAGTGCTTTACATTCAAATCTACGGCCTTTGAGCTTTATTACGATCAACGTAAATTATTTTTTAGTGTATTTTTTTATTATAGCAATAGCTTTAATTTAGTGTAGGTTTATCAGTCTTAAGACATGAAATGTGAGATTCTTATATTTCACAGCGGGCACTCATAACTCGGACCATACGATAAGTCGTGACCTGGCCACTTATTGGTTCGGCGTTCAGTTATTACAGATATTAGGAACGTTTCGGAGCCATAACATGCTCAGTAGCTGTTACAGGCAGGGTTCCGGCGATTGTTAAATTGCCGCAATACCGTTTTAACTGCGCCCGTTCAGTCGTTACAACGGACCTGTCTGTTCCTTTGTCGGTATTTTAATGGTTGTTTTGTTACAGCCTAGTGAAGGCACTTTTTTTTTTATTACCTATATATAATCGTTATAAAGAGATAAAATACTATGTATTAAGTAACTACGACCTCTACGCCATCAAACTCTAATCTAAACTCTCTTGATGACCTTTCGGACAATGGTGGGTGTCTGAAAATAGAGTTTACATTTATTTATTTAGCGTTATGTGAAAATGTTAGACGACTTCTTGGTGCCTGAACTTCAAAACTTTCCTGGCTATAACCAAAGAACATGGTTCCAGCAGGACGGAGCAACGTCACACACGTCCAATACGTGTTACGGGTTCGTGAAATTTTGATTGAATTTAAAGGCAAATTGATCTACAGGACAGGTGACATAAATTGGCCTCCACGCAGTCCTGATTTTACCCCTATGGATTTTTTCTCATGGGGTTATCTTAAATCTAAACCAATAAGCCGACTTCTCTGGCGCAATTGAAAGAAAATATCCGTCACGAAATGGCAGCCATCACTGAGTCCACCTGCCGAGCCATTATAAGTAATTTTATTGTTTGATTAAATGAGTGCCGCGAACGCGACGGTCTACATTTGGACGGTATGATTTTTAAGAAATCAATTCCCAAAATGTGTACATTAATAATGAATAAACACTTTTTTGATACATGACTTACTTTTTTATTAATCAATCAACTAAATATGAACTTCCTTTTGAGACACCCTGGATCGTGGAATGGATGAAAACATACCTACTTGACTTTGAGTTGGCAAGGACTTAAAAAAAATAGCGTAATAATCATAACTCACGAATAAATAAATAATTATTGTTTGAATTTTTCTAATTTGAAGTCGCGCCATCTATTTAATAAGTAACTATAAAATAAATTATATTTATAATATTTTTTTACAAAATACGCCTTATAACAAATACGTTCCGTACCGAATACATGCTTAAAATTATTGATTTATAGACAATGCCGAGTGTTGTGAGAGTGGGAATGTATGTATGTTTTAAAATCTCAAACCTACGTAAAATATTTTTAAACCTTGAATGCCTTGATGCGTCAAGCATTAGATACTATATTATAACGTAATTATATTTTATTCCTACTGTGTATGTATTTTTTAACCTACAGTCATGATAACTGTTGGTTGTATTTTTTAGGTCATATAAAAGGAGGCCACTACCCATGAAGGGTTTCCGATCAATGGTATTGAAAGTTAGGATATCAGGATAACAAGAAAAAAATATAACAAATCTAAACTGTATATTCTACATTTATAATGATTCGAAATAAACGGACTTATTTTTTTATTATTATACATGATTAATTTGTTATACGCTTTTTATTTTGTAATATTTCACCATTTTGGCATTACAATCTTATGTCAAATATTCATTGAACATTGCATCAATGCGAAATAAATATTCTTACCAAATAAACGACATACAAGATCAATTAGTTGTTCCGTTTCGATAGTTAAATGGCAGCGTTAAGCTTGTTCTAGGGAGCACAAAGTCGGAACTATTAAATAAATAATTTCATTGGAGAGTGATTAGTCCAGAACTAATTCTGTATTGCATTAGTCGCTTTGTCTTTTCACTAATTGTCCGGAAAGTGCTTTCGCTGTTTGG